TAATAATAATAATAATAATAATAATAATAATAATAATAATAATAATAATAAAATAACTGTAAGAATTGCATTAATCAGTCTAAGCGAGACAACAACATAAAATAACATTACACAATGGAGAAATGGAATGAATAATTCTTAATAAAGGGATTTTTTTTAAAATAATTTTTTCGTAGTTTAAAAATTAAAATTAACTACATGTAGATTTGTACGTAACATATTTCACGTTTCATAGAGTTCGTCACTTCAACGCTAGAAAAGCCCAGAAAGAAAACTTAATTAGCAAATTCCACGCTCTCGTGTAGCAAATTCGTCAGCATACCTCTTTGTGGTAACACACAATGTAAATACCGTGCTTACTGCCCTTCTGCGACGATTCCCCTTAAATTAAATTCACTTGCTTTGTTAAATGGGAAGAATGCAAGAAATGCGTATCTGAGCATTGTTCCATGCGTAACTCCTGCCCTGCGTCCCGAAAGTGATATTTCCGTCACTAGATAGAAGCGGTGCTATTCCATTTGAGACAAACCGTTTGTCACATCCTATCCTGTAAAGGGCGGTTATCGAAACGGGGTTTACAGCTCTGTAATATTAATGACGCTGGTATTTCATTCATGGACAGGCGTTCGCGGGCAAATCGCAAACAATCTCCTGGCACCGCGTGTCAGCCCTGATGGGAAAACAAAGGAGGTTCGGTTTACACGAGCGATATGGGAATGGGTGGAGGTTGAAATGCGGACCCAACACCATGATAGCGTCACCAATCTGGGACAGTACAGGATTTCCTCTCGCAGATTTCCGGTGCAATATATCGCTTCTCCCAAACAGGAGGTCCAAAAGCACAGTCTTGACTATGATGTTTCCAGTCCTTGATGTTTCGAGGAAGTATGTTAGTTCCGGAGTTGCAGGTCAGCCAGCTTTCACTTCTGACTCGTGATCCCAGTACAGAATGTTGGCAAGGGGGTGTTGATTTCTTTATTTGTATATTTCATATTTTTCGAACATCGATAGTAACGTGGGCAATAATATTTTAAGCGAATGTATGACAATTATTTTTAAGTAAATGTATTTAATGAAATCAGACATTTACGTATAAGATTTTTTCCTTTTCTGTAAAACACTGCGACTTACAATTAATTACGACATTTGGAATAGCAAAACAATTTAGATATTTCTGATTTTGCGAGATAGTTATTATCCAGTGTTTTTTTTTGCCGTACCAATATTTGAATCACCTCCAGGGAAAGTGTATGCCAGACAAAATAATCCTTTTTATTGCAACATTCGGAGCTCCCTTGTTCGTCACAGGACGTCAAAGCAGCTGAGTCACGCAAAGGTTGAATTATCCCTGGCATTCCGCCAGTAACATTACATAGCTGCATAGCCTCTAGAAAACAAGACCATTGCATTTTACTGCTCTGTCGCGCCCATTCGCACGTAAGTGTATTGCACTGGTGAGTCTACGGCGAAGTCTCGAAAGAGAGTGCAACTAAAAAAAATGTGAGACCAGAAAATTTCATCAGACGCCTATGATAAAAGTTGGGTCTGTTTTTCAAAATTAGTTTATTTTGAGAGATACGTAAATCGTGTATTACTCTCTGGACTGTATGTTAAAATTTAAGATTGCCAAACCTTAGGTAACATATTTCTCAAAGAAGATTGATCAATTTATTTTTGTATTATTTGATGTTATTATTTTTGGATGAATTTAAAATGAGATGCAAATGGGAGCGTACCTTTGCTCACCGACTTCTTGAACTGCTCAAGGGAATGGGATAAGCAACTTAGGCAATTTTACAAGTCGCGCGAATTAAATAGAGCCTTAATGAATAGAAAAAGTTAAAAAATAATTTTAAAGATGGATCTAGAATGGCTTCTTGGATTCTGGTTACAATGTTGAAGTCATCTGTACACATATTTGCAGATTTTTGTGCAGTTTCGAACAGTTTTGAATAATGTGCTGCCTGTGAAAAAGCTAGATGTGATAAATAAAGAGAAAAAATTATCAAACACACATTAATACGAACAGCAGTGTGAGCGATAATTGAGAGTTGATAGGTCTTCAAAAACGATCAATCGTTCTTACTGAAATTCGATTACAGTATCTGTTGATTTTATTACAGATTTTATTGTATTGAATAGAATATCAGTTCAACAAGAACTCAAAGAGCAAATTATAATGTACAATAAAGTAACGTTCATCAAACAATTGAAATTTTCATCAAACAATTGAAAAAAGTAGACGACAGGAAAAAAGTAGACGACAGGAAATAAAAACATTTTTAAAGCAATATTTTGAGATATTTTTCAAGTACAATATACAAAACTCACTCTAATGTGATAGTTGTATAATGATATCCGTATGTTATCATCTTCAGATCTTTAATATGAATGTCCTACGTACAATATGAAGGAAGTTTACATATGTCTCTTTAAGTGTACACTGTACATTCTCTTGAAGTTAATTTGATATTTACAGGAACTTTCCTCGCCCGTTCATCAGTAATTCATCTCAGGAAACTCTTGTAGTATTTCACTCTGTGTACGTTCATTGATCTCTTGCCAATCGATAAGTATCGACATGGCTCCATCTACACAGAATACACGGAGACCTCTATTAACTTTTTGTATCATGCATCAAATCGCTGGTAATCGGGCATCCAGGAACTCCTTGATTGCTTTCTATGTGTGCTTTCCGGACTCAAACGGGAGGCCGGCGCCGAGCTGGCGGGCACGCCGGTCACAGCAGCAGCGGAGACTGGCTGACCCAGTCACAAATCACGCCTACTCGACGTGAAATAATGATCGATTTCGGTGCTTTGCATGTCATATGACACGAAATAAATTACGAATATATTCAATATAAAACAGGAGGTGAACACGTATTCGCGCAGTAGCAATGTACGCATAAAATTTAAAGTTGTTTATCAAAAAATAAAACAATTTACAGAGTAATACGTTGATTTAAATGACTGAACACTAGGGCAAAATGAATAACAAGCTGTGACTTACTCAATATCTTTATCAGACGACATCATTCTTCGATTTATTGGCGCCAGAATACTTAACTAATTTCTTAGAGGTCTGTAAGAAATCCTACGCATCGATGATGTTAATATCTTAAGGGTGTGGAATCTGCTGCGAAATCCACTCGCGGCGGAAATAAAATCGAAAGGCTTGGATGATGGATGCTTGTCCCTTTACTACTTTGAAGAGAAGTGTACTCGAGATCTCGATTACGGACGAAGCCAGAACACCGGTGTCGACTCTTAAATCTTTTACAACCACGGATTTATACACGAATTTTTCTTATCTTTTTTTATTTTTTCTTTTCTAATTTTTTCTTATCTTTAGCTATATTTTCTTTTTCTCTCTAGCCCTGTAACCCTGCTTGGGGTTCACTAGCAGAGATTGCTCAGTGACAACTACCGCTCGTGTTACATCTTTAATCGGGCGGTCCCAGGGTTCGAGTCCCGACTGTCACCGAGTTTCGACACAAGCGTTGAATTCAGCCCTCTACTGAGAAGAATAAAGGACAGTGGAACCATATTGATCGAAGTGGCATTTTGTCATCCTTTCAGCTTCTCGCACGGATAAATGAAAGAAACTACACATTTTCATGCCACTGTTAACCAAGCGCAAAAAACATCATCTTCTGAAGGAACTTCTCCCACTTTCCTTCCACCGTTCCATTAAATCAAACACGAACGCGTCTTCTTCATTTCTCTAAATGATATGAATGCCACTTGCATCAGTATGGTTGCCTCCTCACCAATTCTAGCCTCTAGCTGCTGTGGTAAATAGATTTTTATTGCATTAATGAAGTTAGGTTCATTTTCCATATATCAGCAGTCCACTTCATCTGAAATGCCCTACCATTATATTAAAGAATGAAAGTGGAGACCTTCTATCGAGCTTCCTGTTCATAAACGAACACGATACGTTTATGTCCATGTTAAATGACCAAGTTCGGCCAAATAATTCAAGTTGACTTGATGCCGTTCTGCCATCTTGAAAGTTCGGCCGTGTTGGCGAGATTATGTCGGAACAGAGCGACCACGCCAAAGCTTGCTCGGCAATGTCCAACACCCCGAGCCAGAATTCGACCTTACACACTACCACTTCGGCAATACGAACCATTAGAGAGGGTCGTTCGTGAAATAATCTATCCTTCTCTTCCCTCTTTTCAAAGCTACACTGAAGATGAAACGGGATTAAAATTTGATGGGAGTAAAAATCAATGTTCACGAAACCACAGCAATCGAGACTAGAACCTTTTTGGTGTTTTAAAAATCATTTTATAATTGCACCTATGAAACCTGTTTTGTGATTTTATTTCCGACAATTTAGAGTTTCATGTGATTGAAAATTTGTTGAGTTTGAATAAAGAATACAAGCTAATTAGATCCTCCAGGCAATGCCATAAATTACAAATTAATTACAGAGCACTATTGATCAATGGACAGTCCGAATACTACAGTCCATCTCAGAGAGTTGGATTAAGGTCAACGTAGCCCGAAAATAGCCAGGTGATTCTCCGGGCTCCATCTTCCCCTCGTCCTCCCCCCTCTGCGACTGCGCACCCCACCTCCTTCTACGAAGCTCGCCTTCCCAGAACTGAGCTTCAAGTGTTGCACGTGACCCCAGTGATCTGCTGCGGTTGCCTCACGGTGCAGTGGCCCGGATTTGATTTACTTACAAGCAAAATCAGAAGTTGCTTAGGGGCTCTCCGCCTGGCAGCATCAAACCAGAAAAAAATAATTTAAAAAAAATCGAAAAAACTCATAACATGTTCGCAAATAAAAAAATATTGTAAAATATTTTATCGGAACATTAATAAATACATATTCATATGTATTCATCAAAAATTTATTCTTTAATAATTAAAAGTCTTTTTTTTCCGAGGGCGCCCCCGCAGTACCCAAATCCGGCCCTGGCGGCAGCTGAGGGGCCACTGTTTTGGACGAACCCATATCCGCTCCAAATCGCCCGAGCGAGTTTTATCGTGCGTGCCGTCGAAGTGGGCTCGAAGCCGCGTCGTCTTCGCGACCTTCGTTGGCGGGCCGCGCGGCGCCGCGAAGGCAGAGCCGAGGCCCCGGAGGCGGCGCGAGGCGATTCGGCAGGTGCGCGCCGCCGCGCCGCCCAAACCATCGATTCCCCATCTGCCTTCGATCGCCCGCGCCTCGGCTCCGCCCTGGCGCCGCCAGGTTTGTTGGCCGAGACGCGGTGGGGGTCTGCCCCCAAGGAAAGGCGAAAATCGTTCAATATTTCGTTATACCGTACGCGGGAACTATTATGGGAATTGCAGCGCGTAAGTTGTAATTATGGTTATGGAAACTGTTATGGAAAGTGTCCCTTAAGCGTAGTACATGCTGTATTTTTGGTGGAGGTAGCGATTTTCTTTCCCCAATAGATCGTGAGAGCTGGCGTCACTTTAACATCGGTGTCGGCGTCGGTGTACGGAGGATTTCCCACTTCTTGGTGTTTCCGGCGGTAGGGTACCGGCCCAGCTGGAAGGAGCTCCCGACCTCGTCTTCGCATGTGTGTAGTTCGAGTACGTAAGGGGAGAGGAGGTGTCAACGAGTAAGGAACGAAACATCGCAAATGACTCATGGATCGTGGTATTACTCCGGCATTCACCTGGTGTTCATCAGAGACATTTCGGGAAACTATCAATCAGAGCATCCGATAGCAAGAACTGTCTTCTAGATAGTTCTAGCTGGTATTCTAGTAGGTGAATGCGACCTGCTATCTATCTAGTCGACCGATCAATGTTAAGCTCATGTAAAAGTGCCAAGACTTGATTTCTAATTTAGAAATTCAGGAATCTTCAGTACTCAATAATAATAGAAATAATAATAGTAGTAATAATAATAGTAATAATAATAATATTAATCACAATAATAGTAATCATAATAATATATATGATACGAATCAAATATTTCATTGCACATCTCTTCTTATCCGCAGGCGTCTTCAAATAGATGGGATGTATTAAAAATCGTCGCACAACAATTCCGATCAGCTCGCAAAGCACTTTATGCTACGCCACCGGCGTCCTAGGCTGGCGAAAGTTGTCAGCACTGGCTCGCTTTGAGACGGCGGGTGCTTAATGAAGAGGGCTATATCGCAAGGATCGGCTCTTGATGGCGAGTGCCATTCGAAATTGTTTAACTTTGACCGAAATTGAGTTCACTCCGCAACTTTCCATGAAAGGGCTTTTACGAAACGCAACTAATATTTAATTCTCCGTCGCCCCGCCAGACTGAGCGGCCTCTTCCCTGTGTGGCAAAGCCGGTGAATCAACTGGATGGATGTTATGGGACTTTTCAAGTTGCCAAGTCGCACCCTATGGGCCAATTGAATGACGTTCGCCTACAGAGCTAGTAAAAGTTCCGATAACTCGAAACACTATAGTTCGTATTCATTAATCATCTACCCTTCCTCTCAGGCAACGCACAGCTGACAGTAATGGCATACGAAGATATAGGTGAATGTGGCGTCGCCGACGCTGTAAACTGTTTTCATAGTAGTTTACTTAACAAGGGCGCGAAACGTGATTCACGTACGAGTCGAGTTAGTCGTCCGAGCGTGCGCTCGGACGACAAAGAGACGAGTGCGGGAATCACCACTTTCCCGTGTTGCGCATACTCTTTTTTAACACGCCGTGAACGAAACGCAATGTGTCAAGTATAGGAATATAAATTAAATAATAAATCATTAGAACTACTTTACTTGTACAAAATAAAAATGGATTCGTCAGTGTCGTAACACACTTGTTTGTAAATTTGTTTGTAAAAAACCAAAGACGTCATCACGATGAAATAATTGTGAATCGTTTTCGCACATGCGTCGCGACGTTTTGCATACGCTTCGCGATGTTTGGCACACTGTGAAAAAATTAGCTGTTTCGCATACGGAATACGGAAACAAGAACGGAAAACGCAAATCGCACACAGCGTGTTAAACAAGTATTTTCATGTGTTGACAATTTCTTTCATGCCTAACTTTGCTAAAATATGTTCTTGCAGTATCTGGCATTACCAATTAATCGTAGTAGCTATTAATGTTTCACTCCCGTTCAAAGATTCCTAACACCCAATGTCCTTGTATATTATTTCCATACGGCACATGAACTGGTAATATTGCAATTTCAACATTATAATCGCCGTAAAAATATTTACAGGTATCATGCGAAAAGGTAGAATTTAGTGCAGCTAAATGTTTTTATTTTCCCGTACACGTACGTATATACCCTGTTCATTTCTCTCAAGTCGAAGCTCTGCGATTTTGAAAATCATTCATTAGTTTTTGGGGGTACTTTACATGAAGCCCCCTGGGACGTTTTTAACATTTTCTCAAAAGCAGTTCTATTTTTTCTTTTAATTTCTTGCAAGAATTGAGTAAAATACAAATGTAGCGTAGGTCCGATTTACACGGTTAACTCTAAATTTTCGAAAATTTCAATAGATTGAATTTTTTTGGATATTCCTACAACTACAAAATTAAAGATAAAGGTTTTTCCTTGTAACGAAATTTGTTGTCCATAATTTGTTCTTTAATTAAGATCATGTAAATTGATTTAAAAAATGATAGTAGATTTCGTGCAATATTGCGTGAACTTTGTGCAATTAAAAAAATTACAAAAAACAGTTTTTCTCAAAAACCACTCCAAGTGTTTTCTTTAAAAAGTTTAAAGAAAATACTTGGAGCGGTTTTTGAGAAAATCTGGTAAGGATGGTGTTAAATGCACTTTATGAAATGACATAAAATTCATATTGGCCAATTATTTTGTTTTCTCAAAAATTACAAAAGTGTAATTTTTTAACTTGACTCTCACGTCGTTAATATTCACATTATTATACTTATATGTACATGTATTTTAAATAATGACATATAAAGTTTTTCGAAAACTCTACCCTTTTCTGTGAAAACTAGCTCAAAATTCCGCATTTTCAGAAATGCTCAAACGCCATTTTCTCAAAACTGGTTTCAAATTTGTTCTTCAAACATCTCGAACGGACAGTGCTAATTGCATTCAATAATATGAAGAAAAGTTCATTTTGAAGTATTTTTTTGTTTTTTTTTTAAATTACACAAATGTAATTTTTTAAAAATATCTCTCACGCCGGTAATATCACAGCACTTTGCAAACACTATTGTCTTCCTACGTTAAAGTGTTTCGAATGACTTCAAATGCAGTTTTTCTAAAACTCAAAACGTTTCTGTGAAACAATGCTTCAAATTTCGAATTTACTGTAGCGCGTAAGCGCCATTTTCTTAAAAATGGCTCCAAATTTTTTAAAGAAAATTGAAATTTAAGAGGCGGTTTACTGATCTTTAATATTCTTAAAATAATATTTCTGTTCTGTTGTTCGGTAATCGCAAAAATTTGATTTCCGACTGTAATTGGAGTGGTTTTGAGTGTGACCTCAGGGCATACCCGTCAATTTGTTGGTAGCGTCTCTCCATGGTCCGTGCCTATATAGTCCATTGAAAATGGAGTGAAGATCATAATCATAATTTTCATTTTCTTAGAAGAAAAAGACATGTACTGTACTCATCTTTACTATTATGCAAAAACGTATGATCTCTGTAACTTTCAGTTACTACATTTATTATTAAAAAGTGCTTCTGAATAATGACAGAAAGCCCTGAAATTTAAACTCATACTTAACTTAAATGCCTGAAAGGGAAGTGTCAAAGAAAACAACACAAGTTGACAACTTTAAATCCATACGGACCGAACTTCTTCCAGTTCACTGGTTTTTTAATGTAACCCCCAGGGGTTAGATTTAAACGTCGTGACAGGAGGAAACAAAACAGAAAGTATACATTTTTCTCTGGAACATTTGTTACCCCGACCTTTAAAAGAAAACTCCCAAAATGTTTGTATTTCTCCGCGCGTCACTCGCAATGGAACGGCTCATAATTCTTCTCGTATTTGGAGATGCAGCGCCGGCGGATGTGTCGTGCGCGGAGGCGCTCCTGATATTAATCATGCAGCCAGACAAGCATAGGTCGACGAGTTGGAAAAAGTCGTCAAGTCCGGGCTCTCGCCTCTAGGGGAAGGGAGAGCATGCCTAACATAGGCTAAAGCGACTTCCTTTCATGGCAACTGCGATACAGCGCGATTCCATGCAAATAATAACAACAACAATAATAATAATAATCATATTAATAATAATAATAATAATAATAATAATAATAATAATAATAATAATAATAATAATACTAAGTACCGACCTGGAGAGCTCAGGTCGATAAGGCCTAAGCGTCATGAATTCTTCGCTTCGAAAGGCACTGGGTTTGAGTTTCGCCGAGTGGATGTGCGTGTAATAATTATGTGATTATTTTCTAGGTGCAGGGAGCCTCCGAATAAGGGTTACGAATTTCTAGGGCATGTAGAGCGGCCTAAGGTAAGAATGTTTTGCCAATGAACATGTGTTGGGAAATTTCATAAAACAAAGTTACACGTGACATTTGCCACTGATTGTTAGGCAGCTCGCCTTGTACTTTAGTTTGGCAGGTCACGGTCTCACACAGAGACTTCGTATACCTTTCACTTCACTCGCATTTCATGATCAAATGCGTTATGCAGTCCATGAGATTTAACCGACTCCTCTGCTCGAATATGCAATGCTAATTGCGTCTCTTTGCATCATGCTCGTCCGACAGCAGCTGCGATCATATGCGACCTCCATACTTCGTGTCCATCAGATGTCTTCTGCAATCTATGAAAAATAAAAGACATGATAACCAGTTCTAAATGCAGGGATTCATTGTGGTTTCATACTTCATTCACCCGAGCTCTGTGACGTGCGGTGCGAACACGAGAGCCAATGGGTGCAATTTTACAGATCGACATCAAAGGTGCGTTTGATTGCGTGACCGCGGCTTTGAACTCTTTACTTGGACGCTTCTATGCAGTAAATCGTGCGGATGGAAGGCATTGCGTGGGCTTGCCCTTAAACTAATCGTCCACGCCGACATTCACACTAGGCTAGGTTCGCCTGCATATATAGCGCAACGTTTCAATCCACGTGGACTTTACGCCCTGACAGGGACTTGCGTAAACTGCGTCGAAGTTCGATTTCTTTTTTTGAGAGACTTCACGTCAAACAAAGCGGCAGCAGGAACGTGAATTTTCACAAAATACACAAGAGAAGAAAAGAATGGAAAGACAATAATGAGACCATTCATCATTAACAGTCAAAATTCGACATCAATGTTT